CTTCGGAAAGTTTTAATAAGGTGAAGTACGCGTTGTCTCATGTACCCTTCTTGATACACCCTGACTTGTAAAAGCGATTCTACATCAAATGCGATGCCCCGAATATAGGCATTTTTCTATTCTTCTCCCAAAAGTTCAACTGTGCGCAGGTGAACTACAGTGTCACCTAGAAGGAATGTTTAGCAGTGATTCTGGCCTTCCAATGATTCAGGCCTTATGTGGAACTTATGCCTTTCACAATATTCACCGATCACGCAAGTCTAAAATGGCTTATGGCTCTACGGGATCTAAATGGCAGGTTAGCACGGTGGGGGCTAAATTTGCAGATGTTCGATTTCGAGATAGAACACAAGAAAGAGAAAGGTAGATTAATTGTTAATGCCAGAAGATGTCATTGGATTCGAAACTGTGGAATTTGAGTCTGAAGAATATATGGACTTAATAAAACAACAGAGGACAATAAAGAGCAATTTCCACACATAAATGTGGAACATGGTATGGTATTTAAAAGAACAGCACCCGGAGTCGAAATGGAACTAGAAGTATTTTAGTGGAAACTGTGGGTTCCGAAAAGCCTATTCAAATGGTCCACGAACCTCAAATTTAAATATTATTGGCCCAATATGGCTGTCCACGTAAGCAACTTTATAAAAAACTGCAAAGTATGCAACATACATATGATGGCTCAAATTGGAAATGAAGTACAGACAGACCGCCCGTGCCAAAAACTTTATATAGATTTCTTGGGAAAGTACCTACGTTCAGGAAAGGGGAATGCTTATATTCCGGTTATAGTGGATCACCTAACCAAATTTTCTGGAGGTGATTCACACCGACAACGGGAAGCAATTCGTTTCTAAATAATTTCAGAAAACGATGAAAGACTTCCAGATAGACCCTATGAGGATCGCTGACTGTGCACTGCAATCCAACGCAAAAATAGACCTAGCGCTACGAACGTCAGTCCACGCAGGGGTAACACCGTTTTTTTTACTTATTTGGCCACAATATGTTTACTTGCGGGAAAGACTATAAGCGATACGGAATTGTTATTACAATATCAGAATGATAGGATCAGTATAATAAGATACAGAATCAAAAAATTAGCATCAAGCTTACGAGAGAATTGCGATCCGATACAATAGAAGGGCAAGAGTACGTTTTAGTCCCAGACAGGAAAATTACAAATGTAATTTTGTTCTTAGCAAATTTCAGGATAACTACCATGCCAATTTTCGCAGTAAATTTACTATGTGTCGAGTCTATGAAGTACTTGGTAACAATATGTACAGATTATAAACATCAAAATTCGACGCTTCGGGCGCTTATCATGCCAAGGACATAAAAAAATAGTTTCATAGTGAGGTGCGATTAGCAAATAGCCGAGACTTTTATTCTATAGTGCTTTTTATGGGGAAACGCCGAATGGGCAACACTAAAATGATCCCCATAAACGTCGCCCGCTCCTCTATTTCTAACGGCGGCCACTGGCAATGACACGGACATAGAACACTCATATTGTGTCCTCTTTTGTTTTGTTTTCGTTTTTTTTTTTTTTGTTTTTTCGTTTGATCGGCCATTAACAGTGCAACCGCCAAAGTAGTTAAACCTGAAGCCTTAAAAAATAGAGAAATAATTTGTGAAATTGAAATATTGAATAAAAGGAAGAAAAAATAAGTGAAAGTTGTGCCTTACTTTGTGACCAAGTTCCAGCAGACATATAGTGCCCAGCAGATTCCCCGTAGGCAGAGAACGCGTAAAGTGATTGGCGACAGAGTAAGTAGTCCTGCGTTATAGAGAGGGAACCAGGTTGGCCAGGGATAAGTGGTTCGTGGTGGTCAACCCTAGAAAGGTTGTCCTTTGTGAACCGGTGAGAAAAATAATTTGATTTAGTGAAAAAAAACCTTGACAACATATTACACATCTTGCCCATGTTGTTATGATTTAATATACAACAACAACTTGCCCGACGGTTTTTAATATAATTTTGCGAAAAATTGAATGTTAAGCCAGTTGGTGATTTTGGGGTACAGTTACAAGAATTTGGCGTTTCGACCTCTTGTTGTTCATTTGCTGTGTCGGTGTTGTTGGACTGGACCGGCAGTTTTTCTTTCCCTTCAATTTCGCTGTTCCCGTTGGCACTTTAGTTGACTACACATTGTTGTTGTTATATGCTGATTTGTTTGTGGGTTGCTTACTCTTGCGCTGGCAGTGCTGCTTGTATGCAGTTGGGTTGCTGCTGCGTTTTCTCAGAGGCTATGAGTTTGCTTGCTCTTTTGTGAAATAATTATAATTATGTGGTTCTCTTACTCGCTCTTACTGATGATGGTGCATGTTTTGCTGAGATAGATTGTTGTTTGTGTGACTGGTTGCTCGGCTGGTGTTAATATCTCATGAGAAAATAGAAGCGAGTAAATATAGCAAATAAATCCATATTTGTTATTGCTGTTGGTTTGCCTGTACTGTTGGTGGTTTGCAAATCTGACCAGTTCTCTTTCTCAACATAGAAAACTGACTCATGTTAAAACGTAATGACGTTTTAGGGATCATTTGGATCTTTGGTAATTGATATGTCAACGCTACATTTAGTTAAGCTAAATATATTTTTTGGAACTTGCTCACGTCAAAGAGTATTTACAAAATCGTTCTTTGTTATTCAACTTTCTTATTAAAAGTTTCGTGAAACTATTTTGGCAACATTATCAAAATAGTTCTTGCTCTTTGGTAATTAGAAATTGGAATTGGCTCCGTCGTTGTGGACTTTGCCGATCCGAAATAATATATTGGAAAATTTACCCTTTTTGTCAATTTGTCGACTGATAAATCGAATACAATTTGTGGAAATTCGTACTCATATTGTGAAGTTATTAACTTTCTCTTGAGAAATGGCGAATCTAGAAGAATTCTTAACTCAGTGTGAGGGAATTAATTCCTTTGAGAAGTATCTTAAGGATACAGATGCGTCGGGGTACAATGAATCGGCAATTGTAGCCGAGCGGGCAGAGATCCAAAGTTTATGGGCCGACTGGAAGGAATCCTACAAACATTGTACTGCTGATCCGGAATGCAGTAAAAAGAATAAGGAAGTCCTTAAAACAAAAAAGAAACTTGCTCATGAGAGCTATATTCGATGTGTAAATATCCTGGGGGATTGGAAGGAGAAAATTAAGGTGGTACCGAGCTCGTTTACTCAAAAGTCTTCTTCTTCAATTGCTGTACCACCTTGCGATACGGAAATTTTTCAAGGAGACTACATATCATGGCCCAGTTTTCGTGATTTATTCACAGCCATATATAGTAATCACCCCTACTCTGTAAGACGTCGTCGACAGCTAACGTCGACGCCTTGTGTCGCCGTGTTAATTTTGGCACCCCTGAAGTCGTGTCGACAGCAGACGACGAGTACTTGGTACTCGCTAAGGCGTTTATACAACCATGTTGAGTCGACTCGACTTACTTTTTGTCGTTACGGTTTTTCTGCACGCCTTGTGACGCCTTGATATAAACAACTGTGTTTTTATTGATTTGTAAGTTGGTGAAAAAATATAAAATGGAGAAAAAATTAAAAATTACAAATGGAACGCAATTTGATTGCTTAATAAAAGAACTTGGGAAAAACCCAAGCCTTGCGGAAGGGTTCAGCAGAGGCTCTCTTCCATCCAATTTTAAAAAAAATCGGGAGGATATTACAACAAAACTGAATGCTTTTGGTCCTCCGGCAAGAGACAGTGATGGTTGGCAGAAGGTAAGGAATAACAGTATATGTACACAAATAATTAAACTTTCTTTGTTTTGTTTTAGGTTTGGAGAGATCTAAAATTCAAATGTAAAAAGAAAGTAGCCTTCAACAAGGCAGAATGCAATGCAACAGGTGGAGGCAGATACATGCAGCTGCAACTTTCCCCGTTGGAAGAGGCAGTTGCGAGTATAATGAAATTTGAAAGCCAATTAACTCCTGATGGCTACGTGTGTGGCGCCAAAAAGACCAGGGATTTTCTGTGGTACAGGGTGAGGAGGAGATTCGCTCAACACCAGCGTCTACACTTCGGTCTTCAAATGTTGAAGCCGAAGAATACTTTCCCACAGATGAGACATTCACTCACCATCAGCCTGGCAACACAAGTGCATGTGAGGAAGGTTGGTTGGTCGAGCGCGTTGAAGATGAAGAAAACATCTGCCCGCCGGAGTCATCTTGTGCTGTAACTCAAAAAAAGAATCAAAGAAAGCAGAAAGATAATAGGAAAAGCAGAGAAAGTTTATTTGAACTGCATAACAATATGCAAGAAAAGGTGTTGAATGAGATTTCCCGCACCATGAACTCAATCAAAAACACATTAAAAGACGCCAAAAAATTTCAGGAAGAGGAGTTAAAATTACTAAAAAGACAAAATGAAAACGAAAAGGAAATAATTAAAATTAAGAAAGAGAAGTTGAAATTGTTAAGAAGAAAACATGAAAGAGAGGAAGAGTTGTTCCAAAACGAAGTGGAAATAAAGAAAATTGCGCTGGAAATCAAAAAGAGGAAGTTGCAAAAGCTGAATGAATCTGACCAATGAAGCCAAAAATTGTGATAGCTGCGCTTTACATAAATATTAATAAGTAGTACCTAGTAATTTTTTCATTCTATAAGAATGAATTTATGTATTTCATTTAAATTTTTTTATTTTTTAGAGTCTGAATTTAATTCTAAGTTTGAAATAAGAATGAACTTTTTTTTAAGTTTTAATACATAAACAATGAATTTTTTTTATTAAAATCAACAAACTTAAACAAAAGTGGATTTTGTTTGGTCTCGTATTTGTGAAGCTTCAATACTTTGTATATTTTCGTCTTCATTCTCAACATTTTCATTGCTGAGTTGTACAGGTACATCTTCGCTTAGATCATTTACACCATATGCAATACAAATGTTGTGTAATGCTGAGCAAACATTTGCAATTTTAGTTGCCTTTTCACGCTTATAATGAAGTTGACGAGCGCCGAGTAAACAGCGAAAGCGATTTTTTAAAACACCAATGGTTCTTTCAATAATATTTCTTGCTTTGGCATGTTTATTGTTAAAAACAGCCTCAGCACTCCCTTCTTGAGAAGAACGATATGGCGTCATCAGGTATGGCTCTAGCGGATAGCCTGCATCACCTGCATAAAAATCATATATTAGTACGTATATGTAGAGTATGAAAACAAAACGAAAAATTTCTTATTTGAAAGGACAACCAAGGTTTGTGAATCGTTTTTTTTTTTTTTTTGATATTCTGTTCTCATGGTGATGCATTTTACCTAAAATCCAACTATTACGGTCACCACCATCATAACGTTCGCGCAAAATTTGTTTGGCGTGGCTCATATTCCAAATCAAGGAGTCATGTGCTGAGCCAGCATGTTGAGCATCCAAATACCTTATCCGCATTTTGTGATCGCAAATCTAAGTAAAACTTAAATTAGAATCTTAATTGCACAAAATAATTTCATTACTTACAATCATAGCATTTAAACTAAAAAATCCTTTACGGTTATAATAAATGCTTTGCTTCTCCTTCTTCGGTGTAATTATCTTTATGTGGGTCCCATCTATGCATCCAATGACGCCTGGAAAACCCTGTTTTTTCAAAAAAAGCTAGTTTTGCTTCGGCTTTCTCATCCTCGGTGCCAAAAAGCGTAAAGTTGTAGCCAACTTTATTGTGGTGGACACAGAAGTTTACCGAATACTTTTCTTCATTTTCGGCTCAATAGTATCAAGCAAGTATTTAAATGCTGCTTTATTGATGCGAAAATGGTTTTGAAACCTGTAGATAAATGATATATTTTATGAATGGCATGTATCATGACCCAAAATAAACTATAAAACTTACTTGATATGTGGTAGGTTAAATATATCTGACCTTTGCCTTATAATTTTTCTTTGTATACGAAGGCTTTTTTCTGTTCTTCATCACTAGAAATAATAAATAAAATAAATCATTTTACCAAACAAATTGAAGAAAATTTTCTTTATTCGTTAGGGATTACACTTTTTGGTGGTAAATTATCGATACGCAGGCGTCACTGGCTGCGACGTCTTACAAAGTACCAATTTTGCATTCATGTGACAACGCCGACGTCAACGAGTGACAACGACTTTGAGACGACGACGCCTTTGGCGACGACTTACAGAGTAGGGGTGATTAACAAAAAACTTAGCTCTGTTGAGAAATTATACCATCTTTTTCAAAAGACGAGCGGTGAAGCAAGGGAGATAAATCGTCACATTCCCCTAACTGCCGAAGGTTTTACGATTGCATGGGACAATCTGAAAAACCAATATGAAAATAAGAGAATATTGGTAAATACACAGTTGAGAAATTTATTTAATTTGGCTCATTGTGGGCAAGAATCGGCTAGCAGCCTAAAGAGGTTACAACGGGATGTCACAAATTGCATTTCTGTGCTTGAGTTATACAAAATCGATGTGAAGTCATGGGACCCAATTTTTGTATATCAATGCTCCTCTAAACTACCGAAGCTTACTCTTTCTCTTTGGGAACAGTCCATAGTGAATAAAACTGAAATGCCTCATTGGGAGGACTTGAATAAATTTTTGACGGACAGATTTCAAGCTTTGGAAAGTGTTTCCGACATAACTTGCTCAAATGGGAACCAGTCCAATCAAAACGCTCGCCCCAAATTTAACCAGTATGATAAATCAAAACAATTTAGAGTTCATCATACTAAAACAAATGGTAATAAATGCAATCTGTGCAAAGGAACTCATTCTTTGCAATCTTGTCCTAAATTTCTGAGCATGGATTTTAGGAATAGACTGAATGCTGTAAAAAGAGAAAACCGGTGCATAAATTGTTTAGCTCAAGGTCACAGAGCAGCAGACTGTAGATCAGTGTGTTGTTCAAAATGCAAGTCAATGCATAATATTCTTCTTCAAAAGGAGAGAATGCCTCCGAATAATGGGAATAATGTCAATGAACCCACTAACTATTCTAATTCGACTACAAACTTACCCTCGGATAAACAAACGACTTCTTCAAATGCACGTATATTTCATACAAAGGTCTCTAATAGGACAATGCTTGCTACAGCTTGGGTAAACATTATGAAAAATGGAGTTTCATATAGAATTCGATCGTTGGTGGACCCTTGCTCAGACGATACATTTATTTCTTCTCGTATTCAGAAGATGTTAAAATGTTCTGTGTCTGCCGATATTTCTGGACTCGGTGGAGAGCATTTAACAAAATGTTCAAAAATTGCATCTGTCACAATTGGATCAATTAAGAACCGATCATTCTCATTGGACTTAGAGGCGTTTGTGGTGCCAGAAATAACTGGGGATATTCCCACACAGCCATTAGATTAAGTTAGGACTTAGATTATGCGGATCCCAAATTTTATGAACGTGGTCCAATTGACATCTTACTCGGTGGAAATGTATATCCAAATATGTTGCTCAGTGGAGTTGGGAAAAATATACTCGGATCTCTGGTAGCCCAAGAAACTGTTTTTGGATGGATATTGACCGGACCAGCTACGAATTTGGTCAAACAACATTCAGTTCATGTCTCACACTGCACTAGAGTTTCGGTACAAAATCAATTGGCTAAATTTTGGGAAATTGAGGAAGTACCTAAGGCCCCTATTGTATCATCGGACGACCAGAGGTGCGAGGAAATATTTCGATCTACTACGTTGCGATGTCCCGATGGAAGATATGTAGTAGACTTGCCCTTCCGTTCTGATTTATCTTACTCTCTGTCGTCCAAATCTAGTCGGTATATAGCCCTTACTAAATTTTTGCGTAACGAAACCTCATTATTGCGAAATCCGAGTCGCAAGTCTGATTACGAGGAGGTCCTTTTAGAATATTTAGCTCTGGGACATATGGAGAAGGTTGAAGGACTTGTAAACTACCAGGATTGTTTTTATTTACCCCACCATGGGGTGTTTAAGCCTGAAAGCACAACGACAAAGTTGAGGGTGGTTTTTAATGCCTCGTGTCCCTCAGTTCATTGGAAAAGTTTAAACGATGCATTATACGTTGGTCCGACATTGCAAAAGGATATTATATCCTTGGTGTTAAATTGGCGCATACACAAATATGTATTTAATGCGGATATTTCAAAGATGTATCGCCAAATCTGGATAAATCCAAAACACAAAAAGTATCAGCGATTATTGTTTAGAACTTCCCCAGAGGAAGAATTAGTTGACTATCAGTTGAAGACAGTCACTTTTGGTGTTAATTGCGCACCCTATCTGGCCCTTAGAACGCTTTTAAAATTAGCAGATGACGAGGAAGATAAGTTTCCTATTGGCTCGAAAATTTTGAGAAATAATATGTATGTCGATGACGCCTTAGTGGGAGTCCATAAGGTCTCAGAAGGACTAACAGCTCGTGACCAGCTTACAGATATTTTAAAATCAGCTGGATTTGAGCTAAGAAAGTGGACAGCTAACTCAAAAGAAATTTTGAATGGTCTGGCTCGTGAGCATCTCTTGCATGCATAATTTCTTGAACTCGGGGACAAGTGTTCTGCGAAGACATTGGGCATTAGATGGAATGCCTCTGCGGATAGTTTTTACTTCGTAATTGAGAAAATAGAGGAAAAAACTTCATACACAAAGAGACAAGTTTTATCGGCAATTGCAAAGATTTTCGACCCTCTCGGATGGCTTGCTCCAATTGTCGTGACGGCAAAACTTTTATTGCAGCAGCTTTGGCTGGATGATATTGGTTGGGACGATTCACTGAAATCCCTTACCCTTTTAAATTGGAAATCTTTTGTCTCCAATTCTAGAGGAATAGAGGAACTAAGCATACCACGTTGGGTAAAATATTCACCGAATTGTAAGATTGAAATACATACAAAGGCTCCGCTGTTTGCGTGGTCTGATTCAACCATAGTATTAGCATGGCTCAAAAAACCGTCGTTTACTTGGACAACCTTTGTAGCGAATAGAGTTTCGATTATTCAGGAAAAAGTTGGAAATGAATGGCGTCATGTGCCAACTAATGAAAACCCTGCAGATCTAGCAACCAGGGGGCGGACTCCCTTGGAGCTTAAGGAGTCTGATTTGTGGTGGCATGGACCCCATTGGCTTAAACTAGATAATAACAAATGGCCCTCCGCTGTGGTGATTCAGGAGACCAGTCTTGAATCGAAAGCAATCAAAGTTAACCTTGCTCGATCTGCCGTGGAAGAGGATGTTTTAGAAAGATTTTCTCGACTATCAACAGCTGTTCACGCTATTGCTTACGCTTTTCGGTTTGTCCGAAGAACCCACCCAGACAGTAAAAAGTTAGCTCACTTTAAAAGTATAAAGCTTTCGTCCAAAGAAATTAGCTTTGCCCGTAATCGTTTGATGTCTTTGTCTCAAAGAATTCACTTTCCCTCAGAGTACGACTGTCTCACCAAAAATAAACGACTGGAATCTTGCAGCCCTTTACTTTCTCTAAACCCCTTTTTAGACAAGGATCGACTCATTCGGGCAAACGGGCGTTTAAGTTCCTCTCTTACACTCTCGTATAATGAAAGGCATCCAATAATTTTAGCTTATCGAAGTCGATTTGCCAAGCTGTATGTCGATCACGTTCATAGGCAGACTAATCACGGCGGCATTCAGCTTACTCTTGCCACTATTAGACTCGAATGTTGGATCATCAGAGGGAGAAATTTGGTGAAGAACCATTATAGATCATGTACCAAGTGTGTCTTGGCTCAAAGAAAACGACAAACTCAGCTGATGGCGGCACTTCCTCCCGAAAGGACCACCTTTGGTAGACCATTTTCCACATCTGGAGTAGATTTCGCCGGCCCTTTTGAAATAAAAACGTTTAATGGTAGAGGTTGTCGCATTTCGAAGGGTTACATTTTTTTCTTCGTATATTTTACCACAAAGGCTATCCATCTGGAACCTGTGAGCGATCTATCCACCCCTGCCTTCATGGCCGCACTTTCTCGATTTGTAGCCAGACGTGGGTGTCCTACCCATATGTACTCAGACAATGGAAAAAACTTTGTAGGTGCTGATCGAGAACTTCGGGCTAATTTGATTAAGGTTGTCTCAGAAATGAAGGAGGATGCCGTTACTCGATATGGATTCCTAAAATTAGAATGGCATTTCATACCTGCATCCGCACCTCACATGGGTGGTCTCTGGGAGGACGAAGTCAAAAGCTGTAAAGGTCACCTGAAGAAGATAGCAGGGCAGATAAGACACACTTTCGAAGAATTTTCGACTATTCTCGCCAATATATAAGCGTGTTTGAATTCTCGGCCTCTTACTCCTCTATCCGACAATATTGATGACTTCAATGCCCTTACTCCAGGGCACTTTCTAATTGGAAGATCATTACTTTCCCCAGCTGAACCAGAGGAAGTCGAAAATAAATCTTCTTTATTGAATCGTTGGCGACGTGTGAAGTTGATTTCTCAAGAGTTCTGCCGACGATGGAAGTCGGAATATCTAAGGGAACTTCACAAACGCCCCAAATGGAAAAAGGCCCACGAGGGTCTGCGTTTAAACGACTTAGTGGTGATACAAAATGACGCTCTTGCCCCATCTGATTGGCGTTTGGGTCGGGTCATAAAGTGCACCATGGTCAGGACAATCGAGTGCGTGTTGTGGACTTAAAAACACAGTGGGGTAATATTTCTCGCCCGGTCCACAAATTAGTTGTACTTCCTCGCTCCGAATAAAACTTGTTTCACATTCCAGTCACAATGGTCCCATGATGTCTTTCCCTACGAAATTGTGTTATTAATTGTATTTCCCTTCCTTGCAGATGAGCTTCAACGACGACTTCAAATGCCCGATGTGTTACACCAGACATTCTTTGCGCCACTGCAGAACCTTCCTCCAACTCGATCCCGGAGGAAAGGCTCAATTTGTGCGCAGGTTGCGGTACTGCATTAACTGTCTCGGCATGGGCCACCGTATCTCCTTCTGTCCCTGCCAAACCGGTTGCCGTACCTGTAAACTCGCCCACCACACTCTGATGCATCCCTTGGATGCGAGCCTAAAATATTGGGTGAAAATGACCGCGGAGGCATTTCTACACAGTCCTGGCAAAATAGAGCCCGCTGTGAAAGTTAGGGTACTGCTTAACCCTATGGCCCAGGATAGCTGTATTTATTTTGGTCATCCTCTCCCGGCATATGACCCCCAATTTGGCTCCTTCCTCAAGGTAGTGTTGACCTCAACGAACAACAACGTGAGGACGTATACAGCCACACTACGGATATGTCAATCGGACCGCATCATGGAACCCAGTCATTATCTCGACGTCCGTCGTATACCATCTATTTACCCGAAACAGGTTGTAGCCGACACGCACTTTTACCGACCTGGTCCAATTAGCGTCATTTTAGGAAGGGATGCCACTGATGGCATATATATGGGACTGCCTATTTTGGAGCCAAGTATGCCATACGTCCAAAACACGATTTTTGGTTGGACGTTTTTTGGAGAAATTCCCAAGCGGTGCTAACTTACCCGAGGCTAGCAGAAGGACTTTAATTTACCGTTCAGGCTGGAACCTGATGAATTCATCCTTGAGTTATATTATATTATTGAATTACCCTATTTTAAAATTGAATTGTTTTTTTTTTTTTTAAGTTGGGAAAGATCCCAACGGGGGGAGGATGTTTATGGGGAAACGCCGAATGGGCAACACTAAAATGATCCCCATAAACGTCGCCCGCTCCTCTATTTCTAACGGCGGCCACTGGCAATAACACGGACATAGAACACTCATATTGTGTTCTCTTTTGTTTTGTTTTCGTTTTTTTTTTTTGTTTTTTCGTTTGATCGGCCATTAACAGTGCAACCGCCAAAGTAGTTAAACCTGAAGCCTTAAAAAAATAGAGAAATAATTTGTGAAATTGAAATATTGAATAAAAGGAAGAAAAAATAAGTGAAAGTTGTGCCTTACTTTGTGACCAAGTTCCAGCAGACATATAGTGCCCAGAAGATTCCCCGTAGGCAGAGAACGCGTAAAGTGATTGGCGACAGAGTAAGTAGTCCTGCGTTATAGAGAGGGAACCAGGTTGGCCAGGGATAAGTGGTCCGTTGTGGTCAAACCTAGAAAGGTTGAGGAGTGTCCCCAACAAGTGCAATAATTTTTATTAAGTGCAATAATAGAATAAGTTGGTTCTGGGTGTCCATTTATTTATTTAAATTATTTTGCTCTTCGTCATGTCCACTGTTATTTGTCCAATATGTGGTACTATGCTTGTAAAATATAGTATTATAGTATATTACCAACAACAATATCGTCACATTTAGTTACAGAATTAAAATGTCAGCCTTTGTACAAGTTTCTGTCCAAGTCTTTTGTTATTGCCCTATCTCTGTACATACAGAGATAGACATCCACCGAGGCTTTACATGTGTTGAAAAAAAAAAAAAACAAACAAAAAGTGCAGTGGGTGTAGCCTACGCTAATCATAGTCCAGGAAAATTTAAGTTATGTTGAAGCTTATGCACCCGATGAGTTCAGTATAGCTTATCCCTTTTCCAACGCCATGTTTTGTAGAAAGAAAAGAAAATAAAAATTTCTTGGTTTAGAATAATTTTATGATTAGAATAACTCAACTTTGAAGTATTACTAGAAATAACGTAGTTTCTACAACATTTTAACAAAAAGAATGATCAGCAGCATCTGCATTATGTAAAAAATGTGGGTCAGTTTTCACACAGAAGGGTTTTGTAATCTTATGGATAAACTTTAGATCTATTTGTGGAAAACGATTCAGATTTAGATATATCTTCATCCGATTTCATGTTTATAATGTTTATTGTGCACGAAAGGGGTAAAATCAAGCCGAAGGGAATCAAAACTGGGACTGGAAAGTGTATCTATTTACCTCCTTATCTTCCATGACAAAAGTACAGATTGACTAAACGAACACTTAGAAATGGCTTACACTGGTGTTCTATTTGGGGGAATTGGATCACAATTTCAACTTGAGTCAGTTCGGCGAGATGGGAAAATACATATATACATTACTATATTCAGAACCAAGATATCGAGGAGTCACATGTGTGCCGATCAAACTATAATACCCCCAGCACTTAGTGTTTAAAAATAATAAACAAAACGAAATTGTAATTAATTTCGTGAAATTAATCTATAATTCAGTTCTACAATATTAAATAAACGGTCAGCGCTATCCATTTCTTATTTAAAAAAAATTGTTGTTATTGCCATATTATCAACATAAAATATGGCAAAATTAAATCAGTAAATGAAGAATTGATAATTGTACTTTGTTTATCGGACAGTTCATACTTAAATGAAACATGTAATAATGAATAAAGGTTTATGTGTCAACCAGATAATTTTTTATCCATCGGAAAGATGTAATAACCGGCCATAGTTTAAAACCAAACATATGATTGCAAGACGTTATTTTTAATGTTACCATGGTTGTTACCATGATAAATGAGAATATAGACAACGAAAAGTTAGTTTAGTCTTTAGTGTATACTGATTTTTTATATTATTTATTCACTATAAACTCTTGCCTTAAATATACAAATTGCTCCAAAACAATACTGCCAACAATATGCCTCTTGAACACTTACCATCAAGACATCCACGGTCGGAACTAATTCGGCTCAAGGTGGTCAGGTCGGTGATTCCAACTATGATCCAGGCGAGGGCACAAGTACGCTTGCTAGTTCCGTATTTTACTTTTCGCGGCCCCACCTCATATTCCTCAGTTCGCTGGTAGGAAAAAAATAGCCCAAAAATATGCCGCTATAGTAAGCTCTTTATTTGCTGAATCGAATAACGCGTTTCAGTACCTATTAGAGGATAGATTAGAAACAAGGATACACCAAACTACGCAGGCAGATTTTTAAAGCGTTATGAAAGAGATTAATAAAGTGACTGTAGAGAACAAACAGAATGAAAATGGTAGCGAAGGTTCATCAAGGTTACATGGCTTAGGGGGAAGTCAAAATCCAATCATGAATGCTGCAGTGAAACCCCATGGAACTACAGAAAACATGGCACACAGGCGTCTGGATTCGAACGAAGGGAGTCAAATGAAGATACGTCGAGAAGACCATTATTCATCTAATACCACGAACAGGTTGGGCATATTGCACGAAATTTTTAGTGCACTAAGAATTAAATAATTAGTGCTAGTGCTATTAGAATTTCATTACCACTAAAGAGTTACTGACATTGAAAAATTAAATAGCAATCCACTAACCATTTAATGATATTTTAACAAAATTTTGGCCAAGCCAAAATAAACATTATGTATATAAGTATTATGTCATCTATCATGGAGTTTACTGATTATTTGCTCAAAATAAAAAATAAATCATTGATGAATATTTCCAGGCATTAAAAAACTTCGAGCCAAACTACGTACTCCATTACCCGAAGTAGACATGATAAGGATTGTGATGAGAAATTTGCATGCTGATTTATCCCATATCATATACTCTATGAAAATATATACAATCGACCAGTTGCGGTAAATTAAGTATACATCGAGGAACAGTCACAAACCCAAAGTGATAACGAGGTTGGATTTGTTGAAGAAATAAAACTTAGCAAAGCCTGTTGGAACTGTCAAGCATATGAACATATCTGTATCAAGTGTCCGATTTCACAGTGCATTCTGTGCCTCAAGTGTGTGGAAAACGGCATGAAGGGCAGTTCGAAGCCGGGAGAGATGCATCCGATTCCAACTCCCGAACAATAAATATGGTCCAGAGTGTGTAGGTAGCTTGGGATAATTCAGGTAATCAGAAAAAGAAAGAAATAATTAAAAGAGGGATGATAGTTAAAGAAAAGAAATGGAAAAGGTATTTGAGTTTTGGTGCAAGCAGAGTTATACCTTTCTAACCTTTCACCAAAAATCAAATATAGAATATTTAATAGTGAGGAGGATAGCTATGGAATTGTACATAAACCCCCATGAAAACACCACGAGTGTACAACAGGACGAAGTAGATGTTAGCGCAAGATATATAGTTGAGGATCTAAATAACATTGTTAGTAGTAAGGAAGAAAATATTAGCAAAAATGTCTCTAGTAAAATAAGTAAGTTAGGAATACATTTAAAAATGAAAATGAAATGTGTAGACCTGTTAAGCAATCAGTTCAAACTTGAACGTCTGTCGTCTGCTAATTTGGGGTATGTATATTTCTTAACAAATGTAAACTAGCCCAAATCTTTTGGTATAGAGGAAATCAGTGAGGGAGTATTACAAGACTATACTTCATTAATAAGTGAGAATTCTGAACATGAACTTTGCGATGAGATGTTCAAATTTGGTGAATTTGAAAAAGATATTTAATACTTACGATGAATATGGTCTTGTGAAGACGAATTAGGAGGTACATACCGTTAAAGGAAGGTTCCCATTCAGATGAAGATAGATATTACCCGGTATCTTCAGCGGTCCAGATTCTCACTTATACATAAGTAGATAAAATGCTTCGAAACCGAAAACCCCGAAAAATCGTTTATGTTTCGATGCGAGGAAGTTAAACGAGCGCACAGTTAAAGACGCATACCCCATCCAAAACTTCGAGGGCATACTTAGCAGACTTGAGGACAATGTGGACCTTTGTTTGCATTTTGTAGATTGAGTTGGACCCAAAATCCAGGCATTATACCACAATCGCAGTATCTGGAGGTCCTTTGTTCCAGTATGTGGCTATGCCGTTCGGTCTGTGTAATGCGACACAAAGGTTATGCAGACTTGTGACTTTTAGGGAAAGTGGCCAAATGCTTATTTGGATAGGGATAAATAAGTCAGAACGTTGTCATAAAGAAGTATACTACTTAGGATTCATGGTCGGATGAGGTGTCATGAAGCCGGACCATTCTAAAGTGGATGCTATTAGAAAAATCCCTGCTCCTAAAAATGTTAGAGAAGTACGAAGCTTTATAGGAGTCGCCGGCTGAATCTAAAGCGGCTTATGGCTCTACGGGATCTAAATGGCAGGTTAGCACTGTGGGAGCTAAATTTGCAGATGTTCGATTTCGACATAGAATTCTGAAGAATATATGGACTTAATAAAACAATAGAGGACAATAAAGAGCAATTTCCACACATAAATGTGGAACATGGTATGGTATTTAAAACAACAGCACCCGGAGTCGAAATGGAACTAGAAGTATTTTAGTGGAAACTGTGGGTTCCGAAAAGCCTATTCAAATGGTCCACGAACCTCAAATTTAAATATTATTGGCCCAATATGATTGTCCACGTAAGCAACTTTATAAAAAACTGCAAAGTATGCAACATACATATGATGGCTCAAATTGGAAATGAAGTACAGACAGACCGCCCGTGCCAAAGACTTTATATAGATTTCTTGGGAAAGTACCCACGTTCAGGAAAGGGGAATGTTTATATTCCGGTTATAGTGGATCACCTAACCAAATTTTCTGGAGGTGATTCACACCGACAACGGGAAGCAATTCGTTTCTAAATAATTTCAGAAAACGATGAAAGACTTCCAGATAGACCCTATCAGGATCGCTGACTGTGCACTGCAATCCAACGCCAACAATCCAACGCAAAAATAGACCTAGCGCTACGAACGTCAGTCCACGCAGGGGTAACACCGTTTTTTTTACTTATTTGGCCACAATATGTTTACTTGCGGGAAAGACTATAAGCGATACGGAATTGTTATTACAATATCAGAATAATAGGATCAGTATAATAAGATACAGAATCAAAAAATTTGCATCAAGCTTACGAGAGAAGTGCGATCCGATACAATAGAAGGGCAAGAGTCGTACGTTTTAGTCCCAGACAGGAAAATTACAAACGTAATTTTGTACTTAGCAAATTTCAGGATAACTACAATGCCAATTTTTGCAGTAAATTTACTATGTGTCGAGTCTTTGAAGTACTTGGTAACAATATGTACAGATTATAAACATCAAAATTCGACGCTTCGTGAGCTTATCATGCCAAGGATATAAAAAAATAGTTTCATAGTGAGGTGCGATTAGCAAATAGCCGAGACTTTTATTCTATAGTGCAATAATTTTTATTAAGTGCAATAATAGAATAAGTTGATTCTCGGTGTCCATTTATTTATTTAAATTATTTTGCTCTTCGTCATTTCCACTGTTATTTGTCCAATATGTGGTACTATGCTTGTAAAATATAGTATTGTAGTATATGACCAACAACAATATCGTCACATTTAGTTACAGAATTAGAATGTGAGCCTTTGTACAAGTTTCTGTCCAAGTCTTTTGTTATTGCCCTATCTCTGTACATACAGAGATAGACACACACCGAGGATTTACATGTGTTGAAAAAAAAAAACAAACAAAAAGTGCAGTGGGTGTAGCCTACGCTAATCATAGTCCAGGAAAAATTATGTTATGTTGATGCTTATGCACCCGATGAGTTCAGTATAGCTTATCCCTTTTCCAACGCCATGTTTTGTAGAAAGAAAAGAAATTAAAAAAACATTCTTGGTTTAGAATAATTTTATGATTAGAATAAATATTCATTCATTTCAACTTTGAAGTATTACTAGAAATAACGTAGTGTCTACAACATTTTAACAAAAAGAATGATCAGCAGCATCTGCATTATGTAAAAAATGTGGGTCAGTTTTCACACAGAAGGGTTTTGTAATCTTATGGATAAACTTTAGATCTATTTGTGGAAAACGATTCAGATTTAGATATATCTTCATCCGATTTCATGTTTATAATGTTTATTGTGCACGAAAGGGGTAAAATCAAGCCGAAGGAAATCAAAACTGGGACATATGGCCGAAGAAGTTTTCGTTTTCGATTAGCTGGAAAGTGTATCTATTTACCTCCTTATCTTCCATGACAAAAGTACAGATTGAGTAAACGAACACTTAGAAATGGCTTACACTGGTGTTCTATTTGGGGGAATTGGATCACAATTGCAACTTGAGTCAGTTCGGCGAGATGGGAAAATACATATATACATTACTATATTCAGAACCAAGATATCGAGGAGTCACATGTGTGCCGATCAAACTATAATACCCCCAGCACTTAGTGTTTAAAAATAATAAACAAAACGAAATTGTAATTAATTTCGTGAAATAAATCTATAATTCAGTTCTTCAATATAAAATAAACGGTCAGCGCTATCCATTTCTTATTTAAAAAAAATTTTTGTTATTGCCATATTATCAACATAGAATATGGCAAAATTAAATCAGTAAATGAAGAAGTGATAATAGTACTTTGCTTATCGGATGGTTCATACTTAAATGAAACATGTAATAATGAATAACGGTTTATGTGTCAACCAGATAATTTTTTATCCATCGGAAAGATGTAATAACCGGCCATAGTTTAAAACCAAACATATGATTGCAAGACGTTATTTTTAATGTTACCATGGTTGTTACCATGACAAATGAGAATATAGACAACGAAAAGTTAGTTTAGTCTTTAGTGTATACTGATTTTTTATATTATTTATTCACTATAAACTCTTGTCTTAAATATACAAATTGCTCCACATTCCAAACAATACTGCCAACAATATGCCTCTTGAACACTTACCATCAAGACATCCACGGTCGGAACTAATTCGGCTCAAGGTGGTCAGGTCGGTGATTCCAACTATGATCCAGGCGAGGGCACAAGTACGCTGGCTAGTTCCGTATTTTACTTTTCGCGGCCCCACCTCATATTCCTCTGTTCGCTGGTAGGAAAAAAAATAGCCCAAAAATATGCCGCTATAGTAAGCTCTTTATTTGCTGAATCGAATAACGCGTTTCAGTACCTATTAGAGGATAGATTAGAAACAAGGATACACAAAACTACGTAGGCAGATTTTTAGAGCGTTATGAAAGAGATTAATAAAGTGACTGTAGAGAACAAACAGAATGAAAATGGTAGCGAAGGTTCATCAAGGTTGTATGGCTTAGGGGGAAGTCAAAATCCAATCATGAATGCTGCAGTGAAACCCCATGGAACTACAGAAAACATGGCACACAGGCGTCTGGATTCGAACGAAGGGAGTCAAATGAAGATACGTCGAGAAGACCATTATTCATCTAATACCACGAACAGGTTGGGCATATTGCACGAAATTTTTAGTGCACTAAGAATTAAATAATTAGTGGTAGTGCTATTAGAATTTCATTACCACTAAAGAGTTACTGACATTGAAAAATTAAATAGCAATCCACTAACCATTTAATGATATTTTAACTCAATTTTGGCCAAGCCAAAATAAACATTATGTATATAAGTATTATGTCATCTATCATGGAGTTTACTGATTATTTGCTCAAAATAAAAAAATAAATCATTGATGAATATTTCCAGGCATTAAAAAACTTCGAGCCAAACTACGTACTCCATTACCCGAAGTAGACATGATAAGGATTGTGATGAGAAATTTGCATGCTGATTTATCCCATATCATATACTCTATGAAAATATATACAATCGACCAGTTGCGGTAAATTAAGTATACATTGAGGAACAGTCACAAACCCAAAGTGATAACGAGGTTGGATTTGTCGATGAAATAAAACTTAGCAAAGCCTGTTGGAACTGTCAAGCATATGAACATATCTGTATCAAGTGTCCGATTTCACAGTGCATTCTGTGCCCCAAGTGTGTGGAAAACGGCATGAAGGGCACGTCGAAGCCGGGAGAGATGCGTCCGATTCCAACTCCCGTACAATAAATATGGTCCAGAGTGTGTAGGTAGCTTGGGATAATTCAGGTAATCAGAAAAAGAAAGAAATAATTAAAAGAGGGATGATAGTTAAAGAAAAGAAATGGAAAAGGTATTTGAGTTTTGGTGAAAGGAGAGTTATACCTTTCTAATCTTTCACCAAAAATCAAATATGGAATATTTAATAGTGAGGAGGATAGCCATGGAAATGTACATAGACCCCCATGAAAACACTACGAGTGTACAACAGGACGAAGTAGATGTTAGCGCAGATTAGTAAGGAAGAAAATATTAGCAAAAATGTCTCTAGTAAAATAAGTAGAATAAAGTAAGTTAGGAATACATTTAAAAATAAAAATGAAATGTGTAGACCTGTTAAGCAATCAGTTCAAACTTGAACATCTGTCGTGGATGTTGATACTTTAGAAAATAGAGCATATATATAATTTAAAAAAGGTGATTTAGAAATTAGTGGCCTCCTGGATTCAGGACCCTCTTTTAGTTTACTCGGAAGGGATTGTCATAAGTTGGTTAAACAATTAGGAGCAAAAATTTAACCTTTTTTACTGCAATATCTACAGCAGAAGGGATCATTTTTCTGTAGTTGAACAAATTAGAATTGTGGTGATATTTGAAAATATGGCGAAAGAAATTATATTCTATTTGTTACTTATTTGTTATTTGTTATTTATTTCGAACTGCTAATTTGTGGTAGATATATTTATTTATATATATTTCTTAAGAAATGTAAACTAGCCCCAAACCTTTTTGGTACAGAGGAAATGAGGAAGTATTACAAGACTATACTGCATTAATAAGTGAGAATTCTGAACATGAACTTTGCGATGAGATGTTCAAAAAGTTGAAGAATTTAGATAGATATTACCCGGTATCTCCAGCGGTCCAGATTCTCACTTATGCATAAGTAGATGAAATGCTTCGATTAGGAGTCAGAAAACCCCGAAAAAAGCGAGGAACTTAAACGAGCGCACAGTTAAAGATGCATACCCCATCCAAAACATCGAGGGCATACTTAGCAGACTTGAGGACACTAATTTATAAGCAATGTGGACCTTTGTTTGCATTTTGTAGATTGAGTTGGACCCAAAATCCAGGCATTATACCACAATCGCAGTATCTGGAGGTCCTTTGTTCCAGTATGTGGCTATGCCGTTCGGTCTGTGTAATGCGACACAAAGGTTATGCAGACTTGTGACTTTTAGGGAAAGTGGCCAAATGCTTATTTGGATAGGGATAAATAAGTCAGAACGTTGTCATAAAGAAGTATACTACTTAGGATTCATGGTAGGATGAGGTGTCATGAAGCCGTACCAGTCTAAAGTAGATGCTATTAGAAAAATCCCTGTTCCTAAAAATGTTGGAGATGTACGGAGCTTTATAGGAGTCGCCGGCTGAATCTAAAGTGGCTTATGGCTCTACGGGATCTAAATGGCAGGTTAGCACGGTGGGAGCTAAATTTGCAGATGTTCGATTTCGACATAGAACACAAGAAAGAGAAAGGTAGATTAATTGTTAATGCCAGAAGATGTCATTGGATTCGAAACTGTGGAATTTGAGTCTGAAGAATATATGGACTTAATAAAACAATAGAGGACAATAATGAGCAATTTCCACACATAAATGTGGAACATGGTATGGTATTTAATGGAGCTAGAAGTATTTGAATGGAAACTGTGGGTTCCGGTAAGCCTATTCAAATGTTCCACGAACCTCAAATTTAAATATTATTGGCCCAATATGATTGTCCACGTAAGCAACTTTATAAAAAACTGCAAAGTATGCAACATACATATGATATATGGATTTCTTGGGAAAGTACCCACGTTCAAGAAGGGGGATGCTTATATCCCGGTTATAGTGGCTCACCTAACGAAATTTTCTGGAGGTGATTCACACCGACAACGGGAAGCAATTCGTTTCTAAATAATTTCAGAAATAGATCATATGAGGAGCAGGGGTAACGCCGTTTTTTTTTACTTATTTGCCCACAATATGTTTACTTGCGCGAAAGACTAAAGCGATACTGAATTGTTATTACAATATGAGAATGATAGGATCAGTATAATAAGAGATAGAATCAAAAAAAAAATTGCTTACGAGAGAAGAGCGATCCAATACAATAGAAGTGCAAAAGTCGTACGTTTTAGTCCCAGATAGGAAAATTACAAACGTAATTTTGTTCTTAGTAAATTTCGGGATAACCACAATGCAAATGTTTGCAGTAAATTTACTATGTGTCGAGTCTATTAAGTACTTGGTAACAATATGTACAGATTATAAACATCAAAATTCGACGCATCGGGCGCTTATCATGCCAAGGACATAAAAAAATAGTTTCATAGTGAGGTGCGATTAGCAAATAGCCGAGAATTTTATTCTATAGTGCAATAATTTTTATTAAGTGCAATAATAGAATAAGTTGATTCTCGGTGTCCATTTATTTATTTAAATTATTTTGCTCTTCGTCATGTCCACTGTTATTTGTCCAATATGTGGTACTATGCTTGTAAAATATAGTATTATATTATATTACCACCAACAACATTGACCTATTTAGTTACAGAATTAGAATGTGAGCCTTTGTGCAAGTTTCTGTCCAAGTCTTTTGTTATTGCCCTATCTCTGTACATACAGAGATAGACACACACCGAGGCTTAACATGTGTTGAAAAAAAGCAAACAAAAAGTGCAGTGGGTGTAGTCTACGCTAATCATAGACCAGGAAAAATTATGTTATGTTGAAGCTTATGCACCCGATAAGTTCAGTATAGCTTATCTCATTTCCAACGCCATGTTTTGTAGAAAGAAAAGAAAATAAAAAACATTCTTGATTTCGAATAATTTTATGATTAGAATAAATATTTATTCATTTCAACTTTGAAGTATTACTAGAAAAAACGTAGTTTATACAACTTTTAACAAAAAGAATGATCAGCAGCATCTGCATTACGTAAAAAATGTGCGTCAGTTTTTACACAGAAGGGTTCTGTAATCTTATGGATAAACTTTAGATCTAACTTATTTTCTAAAAGAGGCTTTACCCTTCGGGCTATCGTTTAAAAACATTTAATTTTAATTAACCCTCAGGGGGTTAAAATAAGTAAATTCCAAGTGTTAACAATATGAAGTTCGTACTGCATAATAATGAACATAGTAAACATGCCATAGATGGATTATTGATTTACTGCACAAGGGCAGCAAAAAGTCAGGATAAACAAAACTATTGCAGAGCTCTCAGTGGATAACAATATTCTCTTGAGGGCGCCTGACTTCTGTCAAAGTCATTTTGATATGTTTTGAATATTGATTTCTTTATGACAGAATGAAACTCTATATATATCACTGTGGTTACGTTAACAGGCTACATTTTGGAACTCGTGATGTTATCGGGAGCACTTTTATTATGAACCCTATTTGTGGAAATCGATTCAGATTTAGATATATCTTCATCCGATTTCATGTTTATTGTGCACGAAAGTGGTAAAATCAGCCCGATGGAAATCAAAACTGGAACATGTGGCCGAAGAAGTTTTCGTTTTCGGTTAGCTTAAAAGTGTATCTATTTTACCTCCTTATCTAACTGACAAAAGTACAGATTGAGAAAGCGAACACTTAGATATGGCTTAGGTGTTGAGGGTAAGCAATGTCGTCGTCTTTTTAAAGATAGTTGTTTAAAGTCCTGTCACATTGTCGAAAGAATACACAGTGATATATATGGACCAAGTGATCCGCGAACAGGTATTTTGTAAGCTTCATAGATGATTATAGCCACTTCGCATCATATATCTACTAAAAAATGCATTTGACGAATTTGTCGAATTAGAAGCAATGGCTACGGCAATGCATTATATCAGCAATAATTGTAGACCAAGATACAGAATATTTTTCAAACAAAGCAAAGGAATATTTTAAAAATTAACACAGTTTCTTATACCCACAGCAAAACAGGGTTGCTGAAAGATTTAACAGCTTATAGAATCTGGGTTTCCGAAAGATTTAAGGGGTGAAGCAGCGTTAACAGCAACATGTCTTATAAATAGAAGCCCCTGCAAATCTCTTTCTGACAAAAAGACACCTGCCAAATTGTGATACAAGTGTAAGCCTAACATTTCAAAACTAAGAGTTTTTGGATGTAAGGCATTTGTCTGTGTTGCTTAACAGAAAAGAATAAACTGGATTTAAAATCACAGGAAATAGTAATGATATGTTATACATGTAATGGATACAGATTGTGGAATCCAAAGACCCGAAAAATAGTTATTGCAAGAGATGTTCATTTTGAAACTGTTTTCCTTATTTGCAACAGATTCAGGACAAAGAAAATCCTCAATTGCTCATAAGATCTCGCAGCAACGTTCCTGCTGAACATTTCAGCTATGATGAAAGTAATTCAGATGATCAATTGGTTTCTGCAGAAAATTATAACGATATCTATACTGTCGACGATGAAACTACTATTAACGAAAATGAAGACACAGCTACGCAATCTGAAGCCCCAAACTTTGAAGCTGTTTCATTGGAGCCAAGAAGAAGCGAAAGTATCAGACATGTTTACAAAATCATTGGATATAAGAGAATTCATAAAATTTCGAAATGAACTACAATTGAAACGTAATGATTGGGAGGGGGTGTTCTGAATATTTCACTTTTTTAAAGAACTCAGTAATTTTAATATTGTCACATACGTTTGCATTTTTTGTTGTATACCGCGTCTTATCCCTGCAAAAAAATTTATACAAATGTGAGTGTGATATCCGTGGTTATGCGTACAAGTTGTAATTATTTTTTTTTTAAGTCAAGTGATTTTGAAAACCTGTACAAATTGTCCTTGGGAGTTTTCCTGTAAAGGTGGGTCAACGTATCGCGCAATATTACATAACGCACGTCATTTATGCTGTTTAGTGTTGACACACCAAGAAAATCAGTGGTTTTTGTGGGTCCGCGGAGTGACAGTGGAACTTGAAGTTGCCGTCCACTTCCCACTTGAATTCCACACTATATCGATCTGTGGATATCGTGTCAAATTAAAGATAGAAAAGTCATAGCACATCTTAAGGTGCTGTATGTGCGAGGTGAATTCGTGTTTGTATATATTTAATATAGTATATATGTTCATAATCAGCATAAAATTCTAAGTCGATTTAACGATGTCCGTCTGTCTGTCTGCCCGTCTGTCTGTCCGTCTGTCTGTTGAAATCACGATACAGCCCACATTATTTGACGTAGAGCGTCAAAATTTAGCAGAGCTATTTGCATTGTGTCTAGGATGGTTGGTATTGAAAATGAGATATATCGGTCCACGTTCTGGTATAGTCCCCAAATAACGGTACCTCCCGATATTCGGTATTTTGATGATTTATGCCACATTTTTCATGGATTTGTCTGGAAATTGGTATTTGTAGGTCATAACGGGTCCCTGAGCGTGTGGCAAAACATTGCATGTATAGGTCCACGTTGTGGTATAGCCCCCATATAAAGGTACCTCCCCATATTCGGTATTTTAATTTTTTTTTGCCACATTTTTCCACGGATTTGTCTAAAAATTGGTATTTGTGGGTCATAGTGGGTTCCAGCTCCGGTGGCGAAACATTGCATGTAAGGCTCCATGTTTTGGTATAGCCCCCATTTAACGGTATCTCCCGATATTCGGTAATTTGATAATTTTTGCAACCTTTTTTCACGGATTTGTCTGAAAATTGGTATTTGTTGGTCATAATGGGTTCCAGCTCCGGTGGCGAAACATTGCATGTAAGGGTCCATGTTTTGGTATAGCCCCCATATAACAGTACCTCTCGATATTCGGTATTTTGATGGTTTTTGCCAAATTTTTTCACTGATTTGTCTAAAAATTGGTATTTGTGGGTCATAATGGGTCCTAGTTTGTGTAGCGAAACATTGTAATTATAGGTCCACGTTTTGGTGTAGCCCCCATATAACGGTACCTCCCGATATTCGGCATTTTAATGGTTTTTGCCACATTTCTTCTAATGTTTCTTTTACCCTAAGGTGGATGGTATTAAAAGTTTGGCCCGGCCGAACTTAATGTTTTTTTACTTGTTTTTGTTTCAATTAATCTAATCTTTCTGATATATTTTTTTTTGCTAGATATTTTTTTTGGTACTGTGATGGATGCAGTACCTGGAATACTATTGTACTTCGTCCCGGTACGAGGTTCACTTGAAGAACTCGAGGTCCACTTGAAGATAGGTAAACATTACCTCGTTCTCCACTTATAAACAAACGTTATTTTTATAAAAACAACAATAACGGGCTTAGGCCTGTCCATTTCGCAACAATTGAATTAATATATATATATATATATATATATATATATATATATATATATATATATATATATATATATATATAAATAAATAAAAAAAGAAATACGGCAGAATAAAACAAAAAAAGCCATAGGTGCAAAATAAAAAAAAAAAAAACTTAGGGGAAAAAAGGAAAATTCTAAAAGAGGACAAAGAGTCCCAAAACATACCATTTTAAAATAGGAAAACAAAGTCCCAAAGTAAAAAATGTTAAAATATATTTAATAATTTTAGTTGACGACATGAACGTGTTCCCGCTAGCAAATCCTCACTAGGAAGAACAATTTGGAGCTAAAACTTACAACAATGGAAGCCTATGAATATATACAGAGAGGGTTGCTGAACAATACGAATTGGAGAAGCAACAGGAAGCAAGACCACCAACAAAAGAAGAACAAAGGAAGAAATCCTATAGAAGAAGAAAGAAATCCTATATCTCGTATCAACAGCTGAAGAATACGTCAAAGCAATGGGAGAAGACGAACAAATTCTTCTGATTCCGATTCCTCAAGGGTCTCGTCAACTACCAATTACTGTGAGAACGGAAGATCCCATACATGAGCTTACCATGAAGTCATTAACAACGTTTTCCTACTTTGATGTGACGGTTTACAACGATGGACTAAGAATTCTAAGACTTGTAAGATGAAACCGGCTGATAATGGTGGCGGTACGAGACTGCATTAAGAAGTTGTCTTGTCTTCTGGAAGCTGTTACTTAGCATTATCTACATATATCTAAAAATGCTGATATCTAAATACCTTTCATTTCATATTGTTCATCATATCTTTTTTACGTAATAATACAGTCCACTAAAAATGTACACATTTAAGCCGCCCCGGAGAATGTACAAAATATTTTGCACATATGCCGTCTGCGTAATGTTAATAAATAACAACGTTTTCATCAATCCAACGAAAGAATTCGAGATCTCAAGATCTTTATCAATTGATTGCTCAGATTCTTTCCATAAATGCAGTTAACAAAACTCATGAAAGTGTTTGTCTTGGATGTTCGTCTAAATTTGTTAAGTAGTGTAGAATGTGACCAAATGATCGATGCACAGACACAAAGTGAAAAGGACATACCCCAAATTTAATGATCCAATCGATCCTCCCTAACGTAATGGTTGTTTTGTGTTAATTAAATATCGAAGTACAAAGACTTTTTTATTTCGCATATGATAAAACGTTCTTTAAAATAAACTCTTGTCTTATATATAAATTGTTCCACATTCCAAATAGTACTACTAATAATATGCCTCTTGAACACTGGGTGATTCCAATTATGATCCAGGTACACAGGCTAGTTCCGGATTTTACTTCTAGCGGCCCCACCTCCTATCCCGCAGTTCCCTGGCAGGAAAAGAATTAGCCCGGATGACGCTATGATAAGCTCTTTAATATCTGAAGCGAATAACACTTATCGGTATCAATCAGAGGATAGATTAGAAAAAAGGAAACACCAAACTATTCAGGCAGGTTTTGAAAGCATAGGGAACAAACATAATGATCCAGAATTGGAAAATGGTAACGACTTCATCAAGGTTGTATGGTTTAGGGGGGAGTCAAGATCCAATCATGAACGCTCCAGTGAAACCCCGTGAAACTACAGAAAACATGGCTTACAGATACGTCGAGAAAACCATTATTCATCTAATACCATGAATCCGCATTCAACACAAATGGGGACCAGTAGAAACCTGATTGTTGTGGACAAATCCATGTTTGGATGCAGAGGACTTCGTGCTAAGTAAGTAAGTAATCCGTGATTTTCAACTATTGCTCAAAGGAGACGCAAAGAAGTGGTTTTGTATCTTGATGGCCAATCAATACAATCGACCAGTTGCGTGACGAGTGCACGGAATTACAAAAAAAAATATTTGAAGAAGGAGAGATTTATTGCCCCACCGACAAAACCTCCACCAGCAATCCGTCGAACATATCCGTTAAATAAAGTATACATCGAGGAACAGTCACAAACACAAATTGATGACGAGGTTGTAATTGTTGAAGAAATAAAACTTAACTTAAAACCTGTTGGAACTGCCAAGTTGATGGACATATTTGTATCGAGTGTCCGGTCCCACAGCACAATCTGTTCTGTTACAGATGCGGGTATCCAGGGTTAACTTAAATGTTGCTTTCACCAAAACTCAAATATTGAAAAGAATATTTAATAATGAGGTTAGCCACGGAAATGTAGTTAAATCTAAATAAGTCAAAATGTTGTTATAAAGAAGTACACTACTTAGGATTCATAGTTAGAGGATTTGTCATGACGGACCAGTCTACGGTAGATGCTATTAGAAAAATTCCTTTTCCTAAAAATGGTAGAAAACTACGAAGCTTTATAGGAGTCGCCGACCGTAGATTCGTCAGGAACTTTTCAGAACTAACAGCACCGCTCAATAATCTTATAAAGAAAGACAAGAAATTCGTCATTAATTATAAGGCTTTGGAAAGTTTTATTAAGGTGAAGTACGCGTTGACTCGTGTACCTGTCTTGGTACACCCTGACTTGCAAAAGCGATTCTACATCCAATGCGATGCTTCGGATTTAGTCGCAGGAGCTGTTTTGTTCCAAAAGGGCAACGAAGTTCATGAAAGGCTCATTGCATTCTTCTCCCAAAAGTTGAACAGTGCGCAGATAAACAGCAGTGTCACCTAGAATGATTCAGGCCTTATGTGGAACTTATGCCTTTCACAATATTCACCGATCACGCAATTCTAAAATGGCTTATGGCTCTACGGGATCTAAATGGCAGGTTAGCACGGTGGGCGCTAAATTTGCAGATGTTCGATTTCGAGATAGAACACAAGAAAAAGAAAGGTAGATTAATTGTTAATGCCAGAAGATGTCATTGGATTCGAAACTGTGGAATTTGAGTCTGAAGAATATATGGACTTAATAAAACAATAGAGGAAAATAGAGAGCAATTTCCAGACATTAATGTGAAACATGGTATGGTATTTAAAAGAAAAGCACCCAGAGTCAAAATGGAGCTAGAAGAATTTGAGTGAAAACTGTGGTTTACGGAAAGCCTAGCCACTACCCTGATTCAAATGGCCCACGAACCAGAGGAAAGGTCATATGGAGGAATAAGGAAGACGTTCAATCACCTCAAACTGAAATGTAATTGGTCCAATATGGTTGTCCACGTATCAACTTTATAAAAAACTGGAAAGTATACAACTTACATATGATGCCTCAGATTGGAAATGAAGTACAGACAGACCGCCCGTGCCAAAAATAACGGAAAGCATTTCGTTTCTAAATAATTTCAGAAAGTGATAAAAGACTTCAAGATAGACCCTATGAGGACCGCTTACTATGCACTGCAATCCAACGCCACGGAGCGAGAAAACCAAAGAAGCGTTTAGATCTTATCTAGATAACGACCACACTAACTGGGACATGAATTCAGCAAACATAGAGCTAGCGCTACGAACGTCAGTCCACGCAGGGGTAACGCCGTTGTTTGATTATTAGGCCATGTTTACTTGCGGGAAAGACTATTCTTGATTCTCGGTGTCCATTTATTTATATAAATTATTTTGCTCTTCGCCATGACCAGTGTTATTACTACACTTGTAAAATATAATATAGTAGAATATTACCAAAAACAACTTCGACCCATTTAGTTACAGAATTAGAATGTGAGCCTTTGTAAAAGTTTTTTATTGTCCTATCTCTATACATACAAGTGACACACACCGAGGCTTTACATGTGTTGAAAAAAAAAAAAAAAACAAACTAAATGTGCACTGGGTGTAGCCTCTGCATTACATAAAAAAATGTGGGTCAGTTTTCTGGGAATGAGATGGGAAAATACATACAAACATTCCTATGTGCAGAACCAAGATATCAGGGACTCACATGTGTGCCACCAGCATTTAGTATTGTAGAGTATAAAAGTAAACATTGAATAATGGTATCTCTCCAAATTTATGGAAAAAGAGTCCGATTTAAATTTAACACATTTTAATATTGCTATCAACATGAGAACTGGTGTGAAGACAACAAAGTTCGATATTTCCATATTTCCCGGGTAACGTCGAAAGTCTGCTAAGGTCAGATGTGAAGTGGACGATTTGGGGTCCACTTCTTTGGTACAACCGCCCGATAGTGTCAACATTTTAAATAATAATTTAATTCAGATTTCTTTTAAGTTTTGTTGTTCTATGTGTCGATGAAAGGATAATGCGTGTTTATACCACCAGTGTCAGGTTGTGGTATGAGAACGGCTGGTATGTGAAACCTATCTAGTTGCCAGGTCAGGGTTGGGAGTTACCATATGTTTTTCTTTTAGTAAGAGCGAATTTAAGAGAGCAGTCACGCATATATATTTATACAATTTCATATGTTCAAAGCCAACGAGCAATGAACTTGAACCGTTGTTAAATCATAGGAAATTTGTTAGTAGAAGAGAATAATGAGACAAATGAGGTTTAGAAGATTGTTTTTGATTATGCAAGAAATAGGCTAAAGTAATTTCGTTATGGACAGCTAAGTTTAATCTTAAAGTAAAACTCGCACAGCATACGGTATTAAAAGATTTGGAACATGAAATCTAATTTTTTTCTTTTAACTAACGTATTAAAATCACTGGTTGGATCAACTGAGTTACCTTAATTTTTAATTTTATTTTTATCTCTGCAAGAATATTATAAAAAGTTATGGGCGATATCAAGCAAGAGTTAATTTTGAGAACTGGAGTTTTCGAGTGCGGATTTATCTGTATTCCATAGAGAAAATTCCACCAGCCGAACAAAACTTAGCTGAAGCACTCTCTAACAAGGATAAAAAGGCTAAGACAACAATCGTCGGCCTAATAGCAGAATGTATTCGCGACAAGAAAACAGTAAAGGAGAGTGGTCTGCTCTGCAAAATACATTCGCTAAGAAGTCGGTTACAAGTTAGACATTGGTAAGAAAACAAATAGTGGTTCTACGAATGAAGTCTGGTGATGAATTGCGGAAATATTTACTACTGTTTGATGATCTTTTACGAAAAATGTGGAGATACCGTTGCTCAACTTTTTGTCACGCTACCAGAAGCTTTTGACCCGTAGTGGCCGCGTTGAAAAATATGAATGAAGAAGATGATACGAAGAGGCAAGATCCTTGTGACATGGATACTTCCGCGACATCTGCGTTTAGTGGTGTGAAGAAGTCGAAAAAATGCCTTGGTGTGTGTTTCCGCTGTAAGAAAAAGGGCCATAAACAAAATAATTGCCGCGTTTGTCAGCGTTAGCTTCGAAGTCAATATGTTTCATGTCAGCGGTACCTGATGGTAAAATAATTACAGATAAGTCTGAAGATTTAGTATTCAAAATAGATTCTGGGGCGACGGATTACAAGAGTAAACATGATTGATGATTCAATAATCTCCAAAATTTGAATGAACCATTACCATAAATGTTGCGAAAGACACTGAAAAGAAAGAAAGGTACAATCTAAGGATATTGGAAAGATACACCAATCACAATGAAATAAGTCCTATATATTAAGGAACTTCGGGATAACTTTCTATCTATGCCAAAGTTAACAGAAATGGAATATGCGTTGAATTTTCTAAAAGTGTCATTATGACAGCTCCCAAGAAAGGAAGTTTGTACGAATTGAAGATAGGGCAAATGCAAGTTTAAGTACAACTGATTTGGGAAAATTATGGCACACAAGCAGTGTGGCCGCCGGAAATTTTCAAAAAGTGTCACAAAAAGTATCATTTCTTGAAAAAAGTGGCACATATAATTTTAAATGGTGGCACAGAAAGTGGCACAATTTATTTCACATTTTATTAAAAAAAAAAACAGTTTAGAACAAAACAACAAATTCATCTATATGTAATACTATATAGTAATAATATATGTATGTACATATTGCATATTTAACAAGTAAAAATGTTGTAAGTTCGGCCGGGCCGAACTTCGAATACCCTCCACCATATGGAACAAATTTGGCAATTTTCATAAAATTAAAATCCATTAAAAATTCTGTTAAAATCTTAAAAATACCGAATGTAGCTGTATATTAGGGTCAATAAGACGACGTGGACCTGCATACGCAACTTTTGTCATAAGCCTGCGCAGGCAATTTTCTGGCATTGGATGTAGTATCTATTACGAACTTCAAATAAAAAATTTGAAACTATTCCGGTGAATAATGGCGCTAAAATCATCAAATACCGAAAATCGGGGGTACCGTTATATGAGGAGCTATACGAAGATGTGGACCTATATAGGCAATTCTCTTTCAGAGAACTCCTCGTGTGGATTTTCAGACTATTCCATTGGAAAATGTGGCTAAAATCATCAAAATACCGAATATCAGGGCATATCGTTATATATACGATAGCGTGGACCTATATAGACAATTCTCTTTCAAGGAGTAAAATGCTCACAAAAAACTCCTCGTGTGGTTTTTCAGACTATTTCATTAGAGAATGTGGCTAAAATCATCAAAATACCGGATATCGGGGGGTACCTTTATATGGGGCTATAGCCCATCTTCGAACTTGACCTGCCTGCAGGCAAAAGAGGGATCTCTGCAAAATTTTAGCTTTCTGTCTTAATTCGTGTTGACTGTAGCGTGATTACAACAGACGGACAGGGCTAAATTGTCTTGGAATTTTACGCTGATCAAGAATATATATATTCTTGGAAATGGCAGCGTACGACGTTTTTCATTATGTTAAATACAGCGTTTAGATTAAAATATATATAGTTTAAAAAACGTGGCACAATGTATAAAAAGTGGCACAAATATTCAAAAAGTGGCTCATTTAGGATCAAAATAAAAAAGTGACACAACCGTATCAAAGCCCAAAAAAAGTGGCAAAATTGATACTTTAGTGGCATAACGGTCACGCTGCACACAAGAATGGGTCCCCTAGGTACAATTGTCTGGAAGAAATGGTTCGACATAAAATGGTTGATGGTTTAAAAAGGCATATGCAATATATGTGTTGAGGGTAAGCAATGTCGTCTTTTTAAAGATAGTCGTTTAAAGTCCAGTCACATTCTCGAAAGAATCCACAGTGATATATGTGGACCAATTGATCCGCGAACATGGGATGGTCACAGGTATTTTGTAAGCTTCATAGATGATTATAGCCACTTCACATTCAAAGATTTATGGATTGAAGCAGCCCTAACAGCAATATGTCTTATAAATGGAAGCCCCTCCAAATCTCTTTCTGACAAAAAGACACCTGCCAAATCGTGTTACAAGTTTAAGCCTAACACTTCAAAACTAAGAGATTTTGGATGTAAGGCATTTGTCTGGGTTGCTTAACAGAAAAGAATAAACTGTATTTAAAATCACAGGATATGGTAATGATATGTTTTACAGGTAATGGATACAGATTGTGGAATCCAAAGACCCGAAACATAATTATTGCAAGAGATGTTCGTTTTGTCGAAGACTGTTTTCCTTCTTTGCAACAGATTCAGGAAAAAGAAAATCCTCAATTGCTTATAAGATCTCGCAGTAACGCTCCTGCTGAACATTTCAGCAATGATGAAAGTAATTCAGATGATCAATTGGTTTCTGCAGAAAATTATACAGATATCTATACTGCCGACGATGAAACTACTATTAACGAAAATGAAGCCACAGCTACGCAATCTGAAGCCCCAAACTCTGAAGATGTTTCATTGGAGCCAAGAAGAAGCGAATGTATCAGACATGTTTACAAAATCATTGGATACAAGAAAATTCATAAAGTTTCCAAATGAACTACAATTAAACGTAATGATTGAGGGAGGTGTTCTGAATATTTACTTTTTTTAAAGAACTCAGAAATTTTAATACTTTTGCATTTTTTGTTGAATACTTATTTGTGTAGAAAATATTTTTTTACTTCAAATTCGATTCTCCTTCGTGTACATACCATTTTTCCAGTTTGTTCTCTAATTAATAAAACTTTTATAAAATATGAATAACTACCGCGTTTTATCCCTGCAAGAATATTATAAGAAAATTGTATGCAAATGTGAGTGTGATATCCAAGGTTATGCGTACAAGTTGTAATTATTTTTTTTTAAGTCAAGTGATTTTGAAAACCTGGAGTCCAGGTCCTGGACAAATTAACTTTGGGAGTTTTCCTGTAAAGGTGGGTCAACGTATCGCGCAAAGTTACATAACTCACGTCATTTATGCTGTTTAGTGTTGACAGACCAAGAAAATCAATGGTTTTTGTGGGTCCACGGAGTGACAGGGGAACTTGAAGAGAGTCTCGTGGAATTTGCCGTCTATTCCCACTTGAATTCCACACTATAGCGCTCTCTGGATATTGTGTCAAATTAAAGATAGAAAAGTCATCGCACATCTTAAGGTGCTGTATGTGCGAGGTGAATTCGTGTTTGTCTATTTGTATATATTGCCGTCCCTACGTTCAGAGCCATTAACCCGTCTTCCTAAAGCAGCACTAAAACAAGTGTATGCATTGGAAGCAATGTAGTTGTTGTGGACAAAAAATCCATCACTACAAAAACAAAAAAAAAAAAAAAACTTTGCTGTGAAAAAGATCTGCCAATAGAACTTGAGTCGAACCTGGAGACTTTCTAGTGTATAATTCGCATATGCTAATTTGCAATAAGTTCGAAATATATACTACTTTCCAGAGAACGGCGCTAGTAAGCCATCATCCACACCAAATATACCTGATGAGCCGCTTAACCAACGGCGAAACACGTCGCATAGTGGTGAGTGTGTGATAGTGTCTATCAGGCTTTCCTTTTCACTGCAAATTTCAGATCATTAAGCTCGTCTTCGTATAGCCCCCATATAACGGAACCTCCCGATATTCGGCATTTTGATGATTTTAGCGACATTATTCACCGGAATTGTTTCAAATTTTGTATTTGAAGTTCGAAATGGATACTGCAGGCTAAGACAGAGAATTTTCTATGCAGGCCCAGGTCTTCGTATAGCCCCCATATAACGGTACTTCCCAATTTTCGGTATTTTGATGATTTTATCGTCATTGTTCACCGGAATTGTTTCAAATTACTTTTTTAGAATTCGTAATGGGATCTACAGTCTGTGACAGAAAATTATATATGAAGGTCCAGGTCTTCGTTTAGGCCCCATATATCAGTACCTACCTAAATTCGGTATTTTGACGTGTTTAGGTACAATACCCATCGAAATCGTTTGAGATGTCGTCTTTGAAGATCGCAATAGATGCTACAGTCTATAACAGAAAGTTGTCTTTGCAGGTCCAGGTCTTCGTATAGCTCTGATATAACGATATCTCCCTATATATGGTTTTTTGATAATTTTAGGTACAATACTCACCGAAATTGTTTGAGATGTCGTATTTGAAGATCGCAATAGATGCTACAGCCTGTGACAGAAAGTTGTCTTTGCAGGACCAGGTCTTCGTATAGCTCCCATATAACGATACCTCCCTCTATATTTATATTTTTCTGATGATTTCAGCTACTGTATTCACCGTTTATTTCAAGTTTCAAATGACAAACAATGCCTATGTAAACCCCAATATAACGGCTACATTCTTATAGACCCCAATATAACTTTTTCGGTATTTTTAAGAGTTTAACAGATTATATTTTTTGAAAATTTCCAAATGGTGGAGGGTATTCAAAGTTCGACCCGGCCAAACATACTGCTTTTTAAGTGGTTTTCTTTTTGGTTATGGAAAATTTTTGTGAAAATTTAGCCAAGTTTTTTATTTAAACAATTATGGAGGGAGTCGGAGACCCCCCTCCTCCACCTATTGGGGATACCAATAAAAAACACCAACACCAATAAAATAATTTTATCCCAATCCACGGACAAAATGGACACCAAATGCAATTACAATTCGCTAAATAATGGAAATCTACTGTACACGCCAAACCATCCAGGGCCATTTTATGTCATAGTGTCGTTAGAAACGCCAATCAGCTCTAGGAGAAAAAACTGCAAACTCCATTTGTATATACGTCTAAAGCAAATCAATCTCACTATCTATGCTTGCAAGTATGTGGGATATAACACTTTTCGAATGACTTTCAACAATTTTGAATCTGACAAAATATAGATTGGTATTATTTTTGATGGAATTCCTACAAAAATATATATGTGCGGAACAAAAGTAACACCGGGCTTGTATGTACCACCTGTTCGGCTGTGTTTAAACTGCGGTCGTTTAGGCCACATTGCTCTTCGTTGCAGGTCGACGAAGAAGTGTCTAAACTGTGGAAAAGAAATTCTATGTGCCACATATTGCAGTAAGGAAGATATATGTTTAGATTGTCGTTCTACAACAACCTGCACACGAGATGCATACTTTGCAACAAAACAGATCATTTTGCAACAAATACCAAAAAGTGTTTGAAGTGGAAGTCTCAAAGAAATATCAGCAGCATTATGACCCTAACAAACCTATCTAGAAGGGAGATACTCGAAAATTATCCAGAGACTAGAAACCGTTTCCAAATTCTTTCTACACATGATTATAATAATGAGTTCCCGCCTCTCTTAACAAACAGGACTCCAAAAATTAATATACATGATTCAATTAACAAAAGAGTACAAGTATTAAATATAGCAAAGTTGCGACTCCAATAAAAACAAGTAAAGAAAGTCTTAAAGTCGGGCGGGGCCGACTTTATGATACCCTACACCACTTTGCTAATTTAGTAGAGCTCCACATAACAATTAAAAGTTTTTATGGGAGAGTTCAATCATACACGCTACGATTATAATTATAATTTAAAGTTCAAAAGACTCAATATGCCGAAGCATTTGAATCTTTTAAATTCGGACTTGTATTGCCCATTTGGTGCACATTTAATTTGAAATCGGATAAAGATATATATGGGAGCTATATCCAAATCGGAACCGATCTCGATAAAATTTGGTAAAGATATTTCTGAGTGGTATTTGATATATTTCCCTGAAAATCTTGTTACGGAGTGCATATTACGGCTGTGGGTAACTAATATAACATATCGGATGAACATTATATATGGGAGCTATAGCTATATCTGAACCGATCTTCACCAAATTTGACATACTAGCTTCTAGACTCAATTCGGTCGTAAGTGCCAAATTCCATCCCATTTGGACAAATATTAGATGTTTGGTGCACAGAAAAGGGCAAATCGGACGAAGATATATATGGGAGCTATATCTAAATTTTGATCGATTATCTCCAATTGCAAATAGGGTTCGTCCTTGGGCCAAACAAATGATCTGGATAGGGCAATAAATGCGAACTGTACTTTGTTTACAAAAATACATGGACAGACGGACTTGCATAAATCGACTCAGAATGTGATTCTATGCAGATCATCAAAAGGAACTATGGGTCTATCTCGTTTCCTTTTGCCTGTTACAAACAAATGCACAAAGACATAATACCCTGACCACCTTGTGGCGTAGGGTATAAAAATCAAGATGCCATTGCAAAACCAATCCACGTAAATCCATCCAAAGCAGTATTTGATCATCAAAATTTTTCTAAAGTTACTGAAATAGAAAGGGCATTAGCATCATTTTCAAGGCAAATGTCTACAATACTTACGTCTCTTAATTGCACAGAAGGTCTTGATGTTTTAAAGAAATTTTAACAAATAGTCATTCCAGAATCAGCAAACAACCAAAGCCCATATCCACCAGAAGAAAACGCTAAAGTGCGATTCATCTGAAATAACTGCAAATAAATAATAATAAAATAATTTTTAATCCATGAACATTTTACAAAGCAATATACAAAGTCTTAAAAAAAAACAAAAACTCTCTGGACTTCCATTTAAGAAAACTTAACATCGATATATGCTTCCTTAGTGAAATTTTCAATATAGATGAAAAACAAAATCCAACATTTCAAAATTATAATATAGTTTCAAAAAAGAGAAAAGATAATTATGTTGGCGTCACGATAATTTTGAAAAAAAAAAATGTTCAAAAGAATCTCTTTTTAATCATCACTTGACATATTAATTTGTCAAACCACTAATTTAAACAACAATCTCACTTTAGTTTCACTCTATTTCCCACATTCCGTGAAAAGCATAACCATTAAATATGAACTTGAAAAAATAACATCATTCCTCAACTCTAATACAAATACTTTTATCCTTGGCGATTTTAATGCTACACACTCGACCTTTCGTGTTTTTTTTTTTTTTTTTTTTTTGATTCGCAACGTGGAAAAATGCTTAAAGAATTTTTTGATTATTCAAACTTTTCATGTTTAAATGATGGAAGTTACACTTTTAAAAAACGAATCAATGACAATACGGGCTATCATTTACCAACTGTCTCTATCTTGGGAAGTTCAAAACACAATAATTGGGGGAAGTCACCACCTCCCAATAATTCTTAAATTAAGCGATACTATTTGCAACGGTAAAAAGTTCTTAGCGAAAAAATACTCATAAGAAATCTTGCAATACTTAAATTGAAACCGGACTGCGATGAAATCAACTTCGCCATGTAAATTGAAATTAAAAAAGCTACGTATGTTATTGATAACAAAAGAAATCCAAAACTTTGGTAGGAACCTTTTGTCGAAAAACTATATAGACTGCAAGTAGCCGCGCAAAAGAAATATGATCTGCATAGCAATGACACTAATGCTCTGAATCTTTTCCAAGCCATTAAAAATTTCAGAAACGCCACAAAATATGCGAAACGACAATCTTTAAAAGCAAAAATTACAACTTTAAATAGTGAACTTAACCCAAAATCATTATTTCGTCCGGTAAAAGGATGTACAAACAATTTGTCATGTAATAACGGTGGAAAATGGTCGGAAAATAACAACAAATTATTTTTAATAAATTTAAGGGATCAAGTCTTGAACAAAAGCCATATTACCTTCCCTCCAAACACGCATAGAACACCCGTCGAACTTGCAATGGAAGAATTCATATATGTCTTAAATAGTAAGAAAGACCTTCAGCTGCAAGATTAGATGGCATAACATATGAGATGATAAATAACTTATCAGAATCATCTAAATATAATCTTTATCAAGCAATGAATTCAGGAACAAGATATTCTTCCAACCAACACATACGCATACAGGAAACACTTTTCATCGTCCATGTGTATCAATCATTTACTATACACAATCAATTATCAAAAGGAAAAAGGAGAAAAAGTAATACTACTGTCTCTAGATATTGAAAAGGCATACTATTGCGTAAATCTATTATTTCTTTATACAATTTTTGAAATTTTATTTCAATTTGTGGATGATTTTATTTTACTATCCACTCACAAGGAATTTGAAATGGCAAATGACAATCTTCAACCTAAAGCGAATCATTTTTACCATATTTTATCCCGCTTGAATCTTAAATATAACCCATCGTCATGTATGTAGCAAAGGGTCCACGTAAAATTCAAAATATAAAGTTACAAAACACCAAAATAAACTCCGTTGAAAAAATAAAATTCCTGGGTAGACATATTAAAAACAGCCTTTCGCTAAAGGAACACTATGATGAAGTAATTAATTCCTGCACCAACTCACTAAACGCATTAAAAATGATAAACAACACCAAAAACGGATTACTCCCGCACATATCAATAAATTTAACAAAATCCCTAGTTTTTTCTAAGACAGAATACGCAATGTCATCCATGGCCCACATGCCATAATATCTCAACAAAAAGTTAACTAGCTTTCAAAAACAAATGCTTAGAAGAAGTCTTGGACTTACTCCTTCCACACCAATACACAACATCTATGCACTGGCTGTTATGCTTCCCCCTGAACAACGTTCTCAGTATCTCGCAGCTAAAGAACTAATCAAATTCAAAATATTCAACAATACGCTGTACAACTGCATCACCACAGATTCCTCTGTAAAAACAAGTTTGGGTTTTATCTACAACAAATTTAAACACTTCCTTGACTGAGTTATTGTAAATCAGAAAAGGATACCTGCAAAGAAAATAAGCTTTTTAGATGATCTATTTAAGGCAATAAAACACACCAAGTCCAATGAATTTTTTAGAGCAATTCTTCAAGAAAAACTAGACTACCTTAAAAACCAGGGTCATTCCATATGGTCAACTGATGCATCAGTCACAGACAATAACACAGGTTGTGCGATCTGCAACATATCAATGAAACAAAATTATGTTTTCAGAATAACATCAAAAATCTCTTCTCTAATGGGACAATTACATGCCATAAATAAAGCAATTGATGTAATGATCGAGGAAAACACGCTAAAAGCAGTCATTCTTACGGACAGTAAAAATGTCTGTCTTACACTCAAGACAAACACACACCATAATTATCTAGCAAACATAATTCACAAAATAAACAATTCTAACTTACAATCGCTTATTTTCATATGGACTCCCTCGCATATTGGCATACCAGCAAACGAACTAGTCGATTATTTTGCTAAGCACGCAGCTACAGTTGGCTCTATAATTACCACCAATGCTTCAATTACAGACGCATACTCTGCAATTTATGATTATCTATGGAAAGAATGGGTAGATAAGTACAAGGATGCATCCGAAACTAAGGGTACTTACTTTTCACAATTCAACACACCACCAAAATCTTACTGGTTCATTAGCAAGCAAGATGTCACCTGGCAATATAAAGCTAATAAATCGTTTACATCGTAGACATTTACGGCAAAACATACTTACATCGCATTAAATTCGAGAGCTCAGACATCTGCACACTTTGTGGAATCACTGAAAGTGAGAATCACCAAATTTTTGTTTGCCCAAAATTCTGCAACGAAAGGAAACAATTTAAAATCTTCGAAAGGTACAAGGACTTACCATCAATTCTAAAAATATTCTCGCCAGAAAATTTCATCGAACTATCAAACTTCATTCACAAGTGCAATCTTCAACTCTGATTTTCTCTAACTGTGAGATAGCAGAAACATAAACAAAACAAAATACGATTATTAAGTAATCAATAACCAAGCAGTACTTGGCATATGTGTACTTCGGGTACCTGCCAACCATGTCGAAGAAGGAGAAAGACAATAAAAAAATAAGCACCCGATAATAAATGTATTTTTCAGAGATACGGCAATAAAATGAGAATCATTTGCAAATGTTGCTGGTAGTCACTGTATTTTTTCACAATGGTATCTTCATTTTAATTTAAAAGAAATTAGAAGTGAATCATTTCTTTATTTGAATACATTTTGCTGGTATTGCCATACTATCAATATAAAATATGGCAACATTAATTCAGTAAACTTTAGTCTTATGCCAGACTATGAAAAAAATTCCATTTTCATCCATAAAACACGCGTTGACGGCATGATGTTGGTGCTAAGTCATCACTTATTGCAGACATCATAAGATGAAATTCTTGCAACCCGATACTTCAACATCCAACTCCAGCAAGTAGCCAACTGCTAGCAGTCAACGAACGCACAAGCGCGTAGTCAGCATTTTGGATATTTAGAATTAAGTTGAAATTATTTCTAGCTTTAATTCGATTTGGATAACAATAAAGAGCACAACGCCCAACGGCTTGTGGAAACAAAAGAGCATTCAATATCAAGTCATATATTATTGCAAAAGGCGCAACGTCTTAAGACTCGCCTTAAGCAATTATTTAACTGGCCAACGGGCATTGACTGAACCTTGAAATAATAAGTCACCAGGCTTCGAAATAATCTGGGCTGCGAAGGATTAGCAGCGACATCAGCAACATCAAGAAAAAGTGACAGCACCAGCAGCAGTGACAAAACCAGCAGCAGTGACAACACTAGCAGCAACAATAACAGCAGCATCAACAATAGCAGCAGCGACAACACTACAATAGTAGCAGCAGCAACCACATCAACAACAACAGTAAAAAAAAAAACAATGGACACGCGAGTAGTATTAAAAAAGTAAGATATATTAATTGTAAGATTTTAATAATATTAATTGTGAGATTAATTGAGTTCAAAGAATTGATCGATTACCTAATTCTGCTCGGGTTTTTTGTTAATGAATAATCAAAATATAGACCAGGAAGTTGAACTTTTAACAAATTTATTTAGCCAATTTCCTGTGGACAGAAAGCCCGACAATAATAATATAATGATTACGACCGCAGAAAGCATACACGTGCTCGTTGACACCGCCATTTCGGCAGCGTTGAAGGTCCAAAGAGACCAGTTTGAAAAACAAATTTCGGACATAAAATATAAATTCGATAAATTTTCAATAACGGCCGCGAAGTTGTGTCTTATAAAGAAATTGAAATAAATCCACAATGTCGGTGCGATGAGTCCTTAGACGTCGTGAAATCCCTACCTGAATTCGAAGGCAAACATGAATGGTATGTTTCATGGCGCCAGGCTGTTCACACAGCCTACAAGGTATTTGAGCCGCACAACGGCAGCTCTAAACATTACCAGGCCGTGGCAATCATTCGAAATAAAATAAAAGGTTCAGTCGATATGTTGTTGTCTTCTTTTAATACAGTTTTAAACTTTAACGCCATAATTGCCCGCTTGGATTTCACATACTCGGACAAACGTGCGATTTACTTAATTGAACAAGAATTATCCACTCTTCGTCAGGGTAGTATGACACTGTTAGAATTCTTCGACGAGGTAGAGAAAAAATTGACTTTACTTATAAATAAAACTGTTATTTCGTACGAAGTTGCTGTTGCAAATTCTATGAACGAAAAATACCGGATGGATGCGCTACGCGATCTCATCTCTGACATCAAAAAAGATTTAAGTAACGTACTTTCTTCAGCGCGCCCGTCTGATTTGCTATCAGCCTTAGCGTTAGCTCAAGAGGTTGAATCAAATCGGGAAAGGTATCAATTTGCCTCAAACTTCGCTAAATCTCGAGTAGATAGGAACAAGAATAAAAATGAACCACATTCAGCACACGGAAGTGGCTATAATAAAAATCCACATTTTATTAAAAGAATTTAAAATCGTACAAATAGGAATGAATACAATTCGGTAGATCCCATTTAAGTCGACGAATCCGTCCAATTCAGACAATCATCAAAATTCAAGCCTTATATGCAGGACTTACCTTAAAATGAAAACCTGTCACAACCTTTTCAAAACCGATCAAATTGGCAGACGGGCCAAAACATCAAAGAATAAATCATCTTTCCCAACATATGCTTTAACGCTCTCAAAACTACCACCAGGTTGCGGGGACCGAGGCAGACGATGTCGAAATTGATGCTCAGGACGAATTCGATCAGATTAATTGTTTAGAAGCAGTTCCCTGCTACCGTTTGTAGAAAGAAAAGTGGCAGGGAAAATCATTAAACTACTTCTAGATACGGGTGCTTCGAAGAATTATATTAAACCTATAAAAGGTCTAAACGGCATAGTTCCAGTAAGCAACCCATTTATGGTGAAGTCAATTCACGGCTTCACAGCAATTAAAGAAAAGTGCACGGTGAATATTTTCAACACCAATAGTCCGTTTTTATACCCACCACCATACTATGGAGGGTATATTAACTTTGTCATTCCGTTTGTAACTCCTCGAAATACTCATGTCAGACCCAACAAAGTATATATATTCTTGATCAGAGTAAAATTCTAAGTCGATTTAGCGATGTCCGTCTGTCTGTCTGCCTGTCCGTCTGTCTGTTGTAATCACGCTATTTTTCGAATGAATTGAGATAGATGGCTAAAATTTTGCACACATGTTTATTTTTCCAGTAGGCAGGTTCGTAAAGTTCGTAAATATAACGGTACCTCCCTATATTCGGTATTTTGATGATTTTAGGGACATTTTTCACCGGCATTGTTTCAAATTTGGTATTTGAAGTTCAAAATGGATACTACACCCTAAGACAGAAAATTGTCTGTGCAGGTCCACGTCTTCGTATAGCCCCCATATAACGGTACCTCCCTATATTCGGTATTTTGATGATTTTAGCGACATTATTCACCGGAATTGTTTCAAAATTGGTATTTGAAGTTCGTAATGAATACTACAGTCTAAAAAAGAAAATTGTCTGTGTAAGTCCATGTCTTCGTATAGCCCCCATATAACGGTACCTCCCGATATTCGGTATTTTGATGATTTTAACGACATTATTCACGGGAATTGTTTAAAATTTGGTATTTGAAGTTCAAAATGGATAATACACCCTAAGACAGAAAATTGTCTGTGCAGGTCCAGGTCTTCGTATAGGCCAGGTATAACGGTACCTCCCTATATTCGGTATTTTGATGATTTTAGCGACATTATTCACCGGAATTGTTTCAAAATTGGTATTTGAAGTTCGTAATGAATACTACAGTCTAAGATAGAAAATTGTCTGTGCAAGTCCATGTCTTCGTATAGCCCCCATATAACGGTACCTCCCGACATTCGGTATTTTGATGATTTTAACGACATTATTCACGAGAATTGTTTCAAATTTGGTATTTGAAGTTAGTTATAGGAACTACAGTCTGTGACAGAAAATTGTCTGTGCGGGTCCAGGTCTTCGTATAGGCCCCATATATCAGTACCTCCTTATATTCGGTATTTTGATGATTTTAGCGACATTATTCACCGGCATTATTTGAAAATTGGTATTTGAAGATCGTAATGAATACTACAGTCTAAGATAGAAAATTGTCTGTGCAAGTCCATGTCTTCGTATAGCCCCCATATAACGGTACCTCCTGATATTCGGTATTTTGGTGATTTTAACGACATTATTCACGGGAATTGTTTCAAATTTGGTACTTGAAGCTCAAAATGGATACTACACCCTAAGACAGAAAATTGTCTGTGCAGGTCCACGTCTTCGTATAGCCCTCATATAACGGTACCTCCCTATATTCGGTATTTTGATGATTTTAGCGACATTTTTCACCGGAATTGTTTCAAAAATGGTATTTGAAGTTCGTAATGAATACTACAGTCTGTGACAGAAAATTGTCTGTGCGGGTTCAGGTCTTCGTATAGGCCCCATATATCAGTACCTCCCCATATTCGGTATTTTGACGATTTTAGGTACAATACCCACCGAAATTGCTTGAAATGTGGTATTTGAAGTTCGTAATGGATACTACAGCCTGTGACAGAAAATTGGCTATGCTGGTCAGGGTCTTTGCACAGCTCCAATTTAACGGCACCTCCTTATATACGATATTTTGATGATTTTAGCTACATTATTCACCGTTTATTTCAAGTTTCCAATTTGAATATGGTAATGGCTTATGACAAACAATGCCTATGTATGTCCACGTCGTATAGACCCCAATATAACGGCTATATTCGGTATTTTTAAAATTCTAACAGAATTTTTTAAGGATTTTATTTTTTAAAAATTTTCAAATTCGTTGCAAATGGTGGAGGGTATTAAAAGTTCGGCCCGGCCGAACTTAGTGCTTTTTAACTTGTTTATCTTACCTTCACTCTCAACGTTTGACGGTATCATTGGCCTTGATCTGTTAACACAGACCAGTGCAACATTGAACTTTGAGAATAAGTAACTGAAAACTATAAGAAAGATCAAAGTTTTAAAATGTGTAAATGTAAATTTTACACAAGTGGTGACATAAAAGTGCCCCAGGAAAAATTAGGGAAATGATAAGAAAAATGTTGGCTGTTTTTGCAAATCCCAAAGAATCACTCCCATACAATAGGAATATTGTAGCTACTATTCGCACCAATAGTAGTGTTCCCACCTACTCAAGACTATACCCATATCCCATGGGTGTAGCTGACTTCGTTAATAACGAAATTAAAGAACTTCTGAAGAATGGTATAACACGGCCTTCTAGATCACCCTTGTTGATAAAAAGGGAAAAGTTGTTGTGGCGTTATCTGGAAATTGGCCAAGTATCAACTTTCTAAAACCAAAAAAAAAAAAAAAAAGATAAAGGGAAAAGATGAATACGGCAACACAAAAAAACGATTAATGATCGATTTCAGGAAATTAAACGGGATCACTGTCGATGACAAATAACCAATACCCGAAATAACCGTCATTCTCTCAAATCTTGGTAAATCGAGATTCTTTACGACGATTGATCTCAAGTCAGGCCTTCACCAAATAATACTATCAGAACAGGATCGGGAAAAACGGCATTTTCTATCGGAAATTGGAAATACATATATTGTAGACTTCCTTTCAGCCTTAAAAATGCCCCCAGTATTTTCCAAAGGGCCATTGATGATGTCCTGAGGGAACAAATTGGGAAATCATGTTATGTTTATATTGACGATGTCATCATTTTCTCTGAAACAGAAGAAGATCACGTCAAGCATATTGAATGGGTATTGGACAAATTATATGCTGCCAATATGAGAATTTCCCGGTAAAAATCACATTTTTTCAAGAAAGTGTTGAATATCTTGGTTTTATAGTCTCCATAAATGGTAAAAATGAATCCAGAGAAGGTAGAGGCCATCCTCAAGTATGAAAAACCTGAAACACTCTTTAATTTAAGGTCATTTCTGGAATTGGCAAGCTACTACAGATGCTTCATTAAAGATTTCGCATCTATTGTCAAGCCCGATATTCTAAAGGACGAAAACGGCAAAGTTAGTGCTTCTCAATCGAAAAGAATAAAAATAAATCTTAATGAGGCTCAACTCCAAACGTTCGAAAAACTTAAAGAAATACTTGCATCTGAGAATGTGATTTTACAGTACAAAAAACGATTTGATTTTACAACGGACGCCTCGTCTGCAGGTTTATGTGCAGTCTTGTCCCAAGACGGAAAGCCAATAACCATGATTTCGAGAGCTTCAAAATACAGAGAATTGGTACAAATGAAAGGGAAGTACTGGCGATAGTATGGGCCTTAAATAAACTCAGGAACTATTTATGCGGTGTGAAAAATTTGAATATTTTTACGGACCACCAGCCTTT